CCGTCCCCTCCTCCCTCCTCCCCCCTCCTCCCGCCACCCTCCCCCTTCCCCAACATCCAATAGATGTTGTTCTGATATGTGCATTTATGTGTTGATTAAATCATGTACATTTATTATTTGATAAAAACTATACTCAAAAGAAATAAAAATTATGTCCAGTTAAGAGTCCTATGTCACTCCTTTCATTACTCTGTCGAAGCTTACATTACCTATTTTTTGTTTGTTTGCTTGTTTTTCCCCGAATTTTTTCAACAAATCTGATGAAGCTGTAAGAGAAGGGACTATCAAGGGAATCCAGGCTAATTAGAAGATTTTTACCCTTGGATTAAAAGCCATCTGGAAAAGAAAAAGTGGCAAGACAATCTCCTCACTACAAGTGAAAGGGCAGCTACACCCAAGAGGATTTCTTCAGTTTCATAAAGAGATGTGTAAGTCAAAGCCCCGCTACAATGGAACAGATCTCTAAAATCTGCTATTTCAGATCACTGCAAATTAGAAACTGTTTCTGTCCATGAACAATGTCCCTATCACATTAACCGACTGAAAAAATGTTATAGCACAAAGACTTCCTGATATTTTACCTAGAGGTCTGTATTTATAGCGGCTTACTGATCAGGTGGTTTTCATTTCCAAAAGCACTGCTTTGTTTATACGCATGTACTCACATTGTATTTAGACTAAAACCTGAGTAAAATCAATCCATCAGGAGTAGAGAATTTGCTCCTTATTACTTCTCCTACCTTCAATTCATTCATTCATTCATATTTGCCCATTATCCACTATCTATTAGGTGTCTGCTATGAAAAAGGCTTTATCAGGTTTTATGGAGAATGTAAGGACATGGTCACTACCCTCAAGAAGTTTAGTGGTGTTAGGACACATTAGATAATCACTGAAATGTCTGCTAGTCTGTAACTCTTTGCACAATACTCTGATGAGATAAAGACACAAAGATTTGGGTTATCTGAGGCTTGTAAACTGATTGAGAATGGGGATATTCTCTGATGGTGTGCATTCTTGTAAAGATTCCAGTGTCAACATTTCACAAGAAAAATATAAAACTTTGCTCTTGTCCAGGTAACAGTTACGTCAAACACCGAGACTACAAATGAGGCTATGGTTAACCCAGAGTAAGAATGGCTCAGCAACTGTCAACCAAGAGAAAAGGAGAAATCACTTCAATACAGAAAATTTGATTTTCACTGGCAAGCCATATAAAACATGAGAACCTCAAGATATTTTAAAAAGTACTCAAAGGGCATTAAGAATTGGTATCTTATGAAACTGTATGAATTAGAGATGTCAAATTCGCATCAACAGATGGAACAGATTTTTTCTTAAAAATATTGACAGGCTAAAATAATCTTGCTACTCACTAACTAGAAATACTTTTGATGAAAGAATATCTTGGTCTGAAATAGTTTCATTAGCAGAATGACAACTAAGGCTGAACACACTTAACCAAACAAACCGTAATATTGGATCAACTTGCCTGGCAAGTAAAGATAAAATCAGCAGGAACAAAATGTGCAGTTATCTTCAAACCAATCAATTAAAAACAAAAAGATATCATATTAGTGATTTATAAGCAAAGGTGAGAGTCAAGGTTAAAAAGTATTGTAGAAGTGATATATCTCAAGTATATATCAAAAGAATAATGGTCAACGTTAATGATCATTGCTGCCATTTCTTGAGCACTCACTATGTGCCAGGCACAATGCTAACTGTTTAACCGTCAGGATGGCTTAGTAGTTAGTTAAGAGCTAGGACTCTGGATCCAAGCTGCCAGAGTTCAAAAACCATTTCTACTACCAACTGTGTGACCTTGGGCAAGCTATTAATCTCTCTGTGCCTCTGTTTCCTCATCTGTAAAATGTAGATAATAATGGTACCTATCTTTGAGGATTGTGTGAGAATCAAATGAGTTAGTACATGTAATGTGCTGAGAACGTTGCCAGGCACACGGTTAGTGCTACAAAGTGTTAAAACACTGTTGTGGTTCTTAAAGCTAAGTGGCAGGCCAGAGCCAATTTCAAACCCTAGGACAAATTTTTCACTTCAAAGACTACATATATTGACTAAAAGAGACCCTACTGATAATGAGTTAATCAACTGTGATACAATGCTGTGTTTCTTAAAGATAAACAAAATGAAACAAAACCACATATGGATAAAAACTTAGCAGTAACCATCAATGAAAAGAGCAAGGCTTGCCAACAGGATAAGATACAGGAGATGGACAAAGCACTGCACTGGGGTTAGGAGACCCAGGTTCTAATACCACCTCAGCTACTAACTAGCAATGCACCCTTGACTGGCCACTGAGCACGCAGAGTCTGAACTTCCTCATCTATTAAATAAAGGGGCAAATAATTCTGAGGTATCTTCTAAAGCTGATACCCTATGATACTATGACCTAACAGAACATAGAGCAGTTTAAAGATGTACCTTTCAGAAAAAAGGATAGTTATTACTATTTATTTTTTGAGCAACCACATATACTTCAATAGGTACTCATCTAGAATGTATTTATAATTATGATTTTGGACATAGCAATTGCAGCAGAATGAAATGAATAGCATAGTGAAGCAAGTCTACCATATATTTTTAAATACCATTGAAATATAAACAGGTTAACCTAAGAAATTAAACAGGAATAATTTTGATTACGATGTAATAATTTTCTAAACATGCTAACTTTTTAAAATGAAGGAAATTATAAAATATTTCTTACATATGGGTTAATAAATACTTTAGCATATTCGGTTTTATAATCAGGTTGAGAAATGATACAATTTACCTTTTTGCCCGTGACGACTGCTGAATTTGTCTCCAATCTCTGGACGCCTTGTCTGTCTCAGCAGCATTTTGATCAGAAAAGCATCTTCAGCATTTGAAGATATCATTACTTTTTCAATATATGAATCTGTTGCTCCTTTGTAGCTAATGGTAAGAGAAAATCACTAAAACAGAGTTTTCAAACTACCCTTTGTGAACTTATCACTCACACGTCATATTTAATTTAATGCCTACCACAGAATATTTTGACATTCTCATCTTGGGCTCTGAAAAATGACTTTCATTTTTTTAACATTAAATTCAAATTTTATAATTTCCCTTTTACAGTCCTATACATTTATATGAGGCAGGCATACTCAATTTAATCCTCACAACAGTTCCCAATTGTTATTTCCTTATTAGAGAAGAGGAAAACCGATGGTTACAGAGGTTAAGTAACTTGTCCAAGGGCACACGACTCAGACAAAGGAGAACTGGGATTTGAACTGAAGTCTCCAAGTTCTTAATCACTTTTGTAAGAGTACTTTTACCTACTCAGCTTTTCCATTATTAATTTTGTCACACATATTGCCTCTTATCTGTTTTCACACAACAAACATTATTAAGAGTCTACTATTTTTTTCCCTGAAACTCTGTGGTTGAGAGCAAAACGTCTACTCTTTTTAATTACTTTTTTTTTTTTTTTTTTTTAAAGCTCAGTAGAAAAAAAGTCTACTATGCATCAGATCCTTGTAGGCTCTGGACACATAGAGACCAAGTGGAAACAGTTCCTGTGCAAAAGGAGCTTTCAATCCACTAAAGGAAGAGAGGCGGTAAATGTGATAAGGACATCAATGGTACGGAGAACAGGAAAGGCCCAAGGGAGACAACAGTTAGTTACTCTGGGGGAATGACAGTGGTAGCAGGGAGGGGCAGGCTGTCAAGCCCTGCTACAGAGGAGGTAAGCCTGGAGGTAACACCTGAGTGGGCAGAGGGAGCAGCATGAGCAAATGCATGAAGCCTGGCGTAGGATGGTCTGTTTTGGAGAGTAACAGGTGACTTCCTGGAAACACAGGGCCTAGTGGGTGAGGGGGTGGCTAGAGAGGTGTGTTGAGGATGCTCTTCCCACAGGCCACATTGTCATTCCAAGGGTTACTTAATTTACTCAAGTTTTACCTAATAATTTACCTAAGAAATTTACCTAAGAAAGTAACATGACCAGAAGAGTAATTGAGAAAAACCACCCTGGCAGTAACATGCAGAGAACAGAGAGGTACAAGCATGAAGGCAGATAATAGTCAATAATAACTAAGAGTCCAGGAGCAGAGGGCCAGAACCTGGACAGCAACAGCAGAAAGAAGGGAAGAGGGAGAGGATAAGAGAACTTCTAAGAAGACAGGACCTACAGCAGTGGTCCTCAACCTTTTTGGCACTAGGGACGGATTTCATGGAAGACAATTTTTCCACGGACTGGTACCAGTCCACGGCCAGGGGGTTGGGGACTGCAGACCTACAGGACTGGTTTGTGTGGTGGGTGAAGGAAAGGAGTCAATTTTGTGCTGTTGGCAACTGGCTGGCTGGTGGTGCCACTCACCAAGAGGGATCCAGAGGAGGAGCCCATTTGGGGCTGGGTTTAGGGCCCCTGTAAAGCTGTCCAAGTGCTGGTACAGAGCCAACACCATGTATTAACAGATGTCTATCTGGAGTAATCAGCAAAAAAGAGGGTGACTGGAATGCTGGGAATGGGGGAGCTCATCCAAACAAGGTGCAAGAGCCACTGGCCAGGCAGCAGTGGTGTTACAGGATCAAGGGAAGACAGGGGTCAGTGGTGTCAAATGCTATAGAAAAGTCATATGAAACTCACTCATTCACTTAATAACTATTTGTTGATTATCAACTATGTGCCAGGCATGGTGCCAGGCACTAGGTACAAGGTAAACAAGAGACAAAGTCTCCGCCCACAGGAAGGTTTGGACTGAAGACTCCATTGAATTTGATAGATCTGACCAACTATGGGTTTTGCTTGCTTATGCCCTGTCTTACCTCACTGGGGTGTGAACCCCATAAGGCCAGGGACTGCTGCCAATTTTGTTCACTGCACTATCCTATGCAACTGGAATAGTGCCTGGCATAGTGTTAGTGCTCAAAAAATATTTCTTGAATGAACTGAACAAACAGGATGTCTTTGGTGACCTCTTCTGGAGCCATTTCAGTGGAATGAAGAGGTAGGAGGATAGCTCAGAGGGTCAGGGAGTGAGCGGAAGGTAAAGAGGTAGAAACGGGGACGACAGACCTATTTTCTGAGGATTTTCACAGTGAAAGGAAGAGGAATAGTGCAGTGGCTAGAAAGGAACAAAAAGTCCAGAAAAAGCTTTTATTTTCTTTTAAAGATAATAAGTATTTGAGTGCATTTTCTAGCCTGTGGGGAAGGAATCAATAGAAAACAGGTTGAAAATATGGGAGGATAAAAGGAAAAATTGGACAGAGAAATGTCTTTGCAAAGAGTGGATGAAATTAAGAAGTCGATGGGGGAAATGAATTTTGAATAGAAAAAGATATCCTCCTTCAGTACAGAAAGAAAGCCAATGGTATAACCACTTTTGTATCTTAAAATAGCTTTTGGTTTTGTAGGACTCAGTGCAAGGGTCCAGACTCCTCCCCTAAACAGAACTGCCTGTTTCTGCCTTGCTGCTCTGACTCCAGAGACAAATCCAAGGCACCCACAAGCGCTTTGCTGTATTTAGCACAGTGGGCAAGCATGGGGCTCTGGAGGCAAATTGTGTGCGTTCAAATCCTGGCTCTGCCCTTGTACGTTACTTACCCTCTCCTTCCCTCAGTTTCCACATCTTTCTAATGAGCTACGAAGAGAACATAGCTCGTGGGGTGGTAATAGGATTAACTGAGCAAACACACGTAAAATGCCTGGAACAGTAACAGGTACAGTGAAAGTTCTCAACTAAGCTAATATGAACATGGTAATTACTGTACTTTTTTGTGTGGAAATTTTTGCCAAGTAGATGCGACTCTTTGTAAACATGGCTTGTGGCTTATTTCAGCTTTATATCACCGGCACAAGTTGCAGGGTGGCTGACACAAAGCAAGCCTCAACAACTGTGTGTTGAATGGATTTTAAAACCATCTTCACAGCTTGGGAATCCAGTTCTCCTATATCACTTCCACCCCCACCTCCTGCATTTAGTTAATCCGGTTCACATTGGCTAGGTTAGATATCTTATTATCTTTTCTAGTTTGGTTTTTTTTTTTGTGAGACAGGGTCTCACTCTGTTTCTCAGGCTAGAGTGCACTGGTACAATCATGGCTCACTGCAGCCTCGAACTCCTGGGCTCAAGTGATTCTTGCACCTCAGCCTTCCGAGTAGATGGGATTACAGGCATGTGCTGCCATGCCTGGCTAATTTTTTTTTTTTTTTTGGTAGAGATGGGGGTCTCGCTATGTTGCTCAGGCTAGTCTTGAACTCCTGGCCTCAAGTGATTCTCCAGCCTCAGACTTCCAAAGTGCTAGGATTACAGGCATGAGCCACTGTGCCAGCCTAGTTTGGTTTATATATCACAATGTGGTAACTATCATTGGCTTATCTCATTAAATTTCATATACTATTATATCTTAGAGCTTAGAGGAAATTTAGAGATTAACAAGTCTCTTTCATTGTACATATGAAAAAACTGAGGCTAAAGGTATTTAAATCCTTTACTTACCCACAGAAGAAGACACACAACACAACCAGTGCTAGAACCTGGCTGGCTATATTCTAGTATATTGGTGATGCCATGCTGTGTCCAGCTTTTTTTTTTTTTTAAACACAAATCTGATCATGTCACTCTCTACAGAATAAATTTCCAACTCTTCCCCAACCCAGCAAGCTGCACTGATCCTCCAAAACCCAGGCACTTTTATGCCATGTGCCCTTTATCTTGCTGTTCCTTCCACCTGGAACCCCTGCCTATTTGGTCTATACCTCAAATCCAGGTTAGAAGGTCTACATGATTCCACAGCCTAGTTTTATCTTCTATGTCATGCTGTTTTCATGACAAGCAACAGTACCCAAAATTGCTATTTCTAGGTCTCCAACCCACCCAGACCTAACTTATAATTTCCCCCATTCCTTCTCTTTCTCTGATCTTCCTATGTTATTATCAAGGCATAACCAATACGTACGTTATGGGCACATCTTTGTACTGTGGTTGCTGTGGCACATTACTTCCTTCCAAAGGAATTTGAGTCACTGTGGGCATGGACTTATTTACAAGCACTTGTTTGTTTTCTACTTTCTCACCTAAGAAGAAAAGAAGAGGGTTAGACATACTATTATCATCTGCGTGGAATACAAAGGTTACTGGGAGCCAGGCACAGTGGCTTGCACCTATAGCCCCAGATACTCAGTAAACTGAGGCAGGAGGATCGTTTGAGCCTAGGAGTTTGAGTCCAGCCTGGGCAATACAGCGAGACTGCATCTCTAAACGACAACAACGACGACAAAATAACTGGGGCATAAGACTATGTGGTTAGACTTGGTCCATGAAATCCAGACATGGAAGAAAAAAATGAATCCATACAGTAAGAACTAGAATTCAACAAGGCCCATGTAATTTTGCAAACCATTTTTAAAAATCACAGATTAAGATCACAGTGTGTATAAAATTAAGAAAATATTTTAGGGACCATATTAACAAGAGAAACGTCATGTCAGTAAATAGCAATTTTACATATCTCTTAGGGTGTTAAAAACAGGTTTAGATCACTTATTTTTACTTATAGTTATTTCAACCAGTAATAAGTCACCACCAACTTAACTTGGGCAATGAGGAAATCAAAACATTTCTTTGGTTTTGCTGATAGTTTCATTTTTGCTTTGTATCTCTTCATAGTAAGCTCAAAGACCAACTTCTGTCGTACTGTCACCGTACTTATTTTCCAAGAAACACTGACCAGTGTTAAGAGTGAGAGAAATTCTCAAGAAACAAAGGCAGAGAGAAGGAGGAGACACATGCACCGTGTACCTTGTGAAACCACGGCCTGATACAGCACTCACCACCCACAGGCCAACCACGAAAAGGTCATGTGGATTTCCCTCCCAACCACCGTGTTCTCTCCACCTTCACCACAGCTCCTGATGCCTGGTCCACCTTCTTTTTTGGCGTCCTTCTAATCCTTTCTCCACACCATAGCCAGAATGATCATTTCAAAATGTGTATCTGATCGTATCATTGCTTCTACGATCATAATGAAAATAGTAACATGGCTGCAAGGCCTTGCTTGGTCTGGCTGCTACTCCCCACCCCTCCAACTCACGTTCACCATGATCCTCTGCACTGTCTTCATTTTAGCCACATTGGCCTTTGTTCATATCCTTCAACTATCAAGCTCCAGGATACTGGCACAAGCTTATCTCACTGCTTAGAATACACACCCCGTCTCTCTTCTTTAGTTAATTCCTACCAATCCTTCAGATTTCAGCTTACTTCCTTAGGGAAGGCTACCTTGATATTCCTAACTAGGAATAACTATAAGATGGCCTCATAGCCACCTATACGATTCCTTAACCTGGTTATGATTTGACATATATTTGTGTGTGATCCTTTGATCAATGCTAGTCTCCTGTACTAGCTTATAAGACCCATAAGGGCAGGGGATATGGGTTGCACCAACAAAATTCATTACAAGTTTGCAATTATAATGGAGTCACATCTTTTAGGGGAAAAAGATTCCAAAGTAGTTTATAAGCTAAATGCATAAATGAAGAAATACCAATGTAGCTGCAGGGAACTGATCCTATTCAAAATATTTCCCAAAAGTGATTTTTCTATGATTCAAAATTATAACTAGAAAATTATAATTAGCATAGATTACTACCATGTAAAAACATATGGCATAGGAAAACAGATTGGAAGGTAATTCATCAAAAATGACCACACTGGTTGAGTATGGATAGTGGTATTAGAGATTGTTATTTTTTTCTGCTCTGTTTATCAAATACTCATAAATATTATTGAATAACTTTCATAATTTCAAAAATTATAAATTTATCAAAAAGGCTTTTACCTGGAGAACAAATACCATCTGCATCTAAAATTTCATGTCGCCAGATGGGTTTCCTTGTAGCAGCATCCAACATAGGCCCCATCACTTTATCAAAAGTCTGATTGGTGTATCGTTTCAATGTACATTTAGCATTTTTATATACAAGGCAACGCCCAAAGCCTAAAATGAAACCAAAGTGGGTATCGGAACCATCAGTAATACAAAGCTATACAAAAACATGCATTTGTGTTACTTAACAATCTCACCTTTCCCCAAAACTCAAAAACTGCTCTACAGATGGATAACCTGAGACTGGTACAAACCAAATAAGCATCTGATAATCTCAAGAAATGGCTCAGGACTCCTCCTCTACCTACTGTTTATATAAACACTGGAATCTCTACAACCATTTTTCAGCATGGAATATACCTTGTCATGTTAGAGGAAGGTGAGAGAAATCTAAGAGTAACACCGTGATTCTTTCAGAGTACAGAGCCACAGAATATTAGAATTGGAAAGAGCCTTAGAAATCACCTGGTTTAACCCCTCTCTTTTACAGGCACTATGAGTGGAGTCCAGAGAAATTAAGTGGCCGAGGTCACTGAGTAAGTTGGTAGCAGAGCTGGGAAGAGACCAAGCCCACTGACTCTTGAGCCAGGACTCTTGGTATACATCCTTTGGTGCATAACTTCTGCTAACCTTCCCTGGAAAGTTTTCCTATTTCTAATTTTGGCATTTAGAGGAAATTTCAAACAAGCAAACAAAAAAATGAATTTTTCTCCAGAGAAGAAAGAGAATGAAAGAGGAAACAATCAAATAATTTTAATGGAAGAAACCGTTTGGCTCTGCGTTAAGATTAGAGTTTGCTTAAATTACATTTTTAGATCACATTTATCTAGTGAATGAAGGAAAAGCCCTGAGACCAACTGACTATCTAAACATTAAGAAAAATAAGAAAAATGGACAGAAGAAAAACCTTTGGATGGGGCAAAAACACTAGCCACTGAATCCCTCAAAAAGAAATTTATTAGCTGTAGAGTTACCCAAAAGAGCTGTCATTCCTTCCAACACTAAATATCATTTCCCAAGATTCTGTGGCTGCATTTCTTTCTTTTTCCCTTTGGCTAAGCAGTTATTTTAAACTAGATTCTCTCTCTAATCTCCTCAGGATATACTCAGCCATGTCAGAGTTTACTTAAATAGGAAAATGTCTCAGGATTAAATGTCAGGTATTACTGATGAAATAAATGCATGGCTATAAAATCCTTCACTTAAAATTCTCCACCAAAAGCAGAAATCTAAGAATGTGAGCTTACAAAAACAATCAGGTAAAAGTGGATTTCTAAATAAAATCTCAGTGCTCTAATGTAATTTTTAAATATAAAGGTGATCATGCAATGAAATAACAAGTTTCAACAACTGGACAATAGAAGAAGACACTTGTATGTCTTTGAGCAAGGTCTTAGTCATTATGGCTCCTAGTAAATTGTGTATGGCAATAATAAACTCGGCTCAGAGTGCCAGCTTGTTTGGAAACATTACACGATCTTGAAATTTCATACAATAGACATTAACTGCAACACACTGGAGTGCAGTGTGAACCTGAACTGCCGGAAATCAGGAAGTGTTTTCTTCTAAGTGTAAATGGACATTTTATTTACAGGTGGTAGCTTAAAAGCTAGAGGACAGTAAACTCAGATCATTAAATTGGGTTGCGGAGTTTCTGACAGACATCACAAAGTCTTCAGATTTCCACATAAACGTTACCAGTTGATCAGAAAGGAAAACATCTAGTTTTAAAGCACGGCTGTTGTCATTTGCAGGAAAAAAAGAGGCATAAATTAAGTGCAGCCAACATTAATGCCAAAGACACATGTCTAGGAGTACTATTATGGCTGCCTAGCAACTACAAAGAGGGAAGGGGAAGGCATAGTGGGTATGCCAGAGAGGAAAAATAGAAATAGAGATTATGAATAGAGAAGTCAGACTACAGATCAGGTGATGGCTAACAAACCATGAAGTGCTGACTCACAAAAGTAAACTGTCAAAAACTGAGAAAGAAAAGTGTAAAAACTACATACAAGTCAGGGTTTGTATATGTGTATTTTAACTTTTGTCATTTGGCGAAGAAAAAGGGTGTAATAGATTACGGGGTTATAGAAATAAAAAACAGCCTGTTATACCCAAATATTGCTACTGCCTCTCAAACAGGCTTGTTATCGAATATATCACTAGATATATTAAAAAAAACTTACTTCATAAATTATACTTTCTGCTGGAAAATAAACAAATTCTTACTTTTTTTTCTTTGAGGAACTGTCTCAAGTCACCAATAAAATAACAAAGAAAAAAAGACTGTGTAGTAGTACATTTAACAAATTTCTCAATCTAACATTCATTTTTTAAAAAAGCTCACACCAAAACACAACCATCTCCTGTTCATATATTACAAAATTCAAATCGCTTGAAACTGACATTAATGTTTTGACATCAACTGATTTTTACATTAATTGTCCCTATATCTAACTCTGCAAAAAGCATCTTTGGTGTTACAGCTTTGAAAATTCACTTACCTCTGTCCAAGGAGGCTTTGTTTAAAACAAGAGCATCTTCGATATCATAGCCACTATAACTCATCACAGCAACTGTCGCATTCTGTCCAGCTGGCAATTTCTCAAACTCTATCAATTCAATGGTTTTTGTTTTAACCATGGGTTTTTGTGGATATGCTAGTAGATACATGAGAGTATCAATTCTGTTTCGCTGGTTGTATCCAATGGTGCCTTCATTGATATTAGAGAAAACAAAATGCAACATTCTATTATATGGAATATTTAGGTAAAGCAATAATTAGCAATGAATATAGAGGTAAACACATTAATTTTGATAATTAAAGAAAATCTTCAGGTCAAACATTTCAAAAGCGATACTCTCATGGTGGCTAACAACCTTCAAAAGCAGTTTTTCTCACTAATCCTTAAAATCCTATAAAGAAGAAAAATTACACTCAGCATACTAACTGAAATAATTTCAATATTTTGGATTTATATAATTAATCCCGTTTGAGAAATTTTAGTTTCTGCTGGTTAATTTCACAAGTAAGCCAACAATTCTGTATTTGGTTCTACCATGTTCCAGGCACATTTCTAAGTGCTGGGGAAAGGTAATGCAAGAACAACACCCAATGTTCACAAGCAAGGAGCTTATACAGTAGGACAAACAGATAGATGTCATGAAGAGAAATCAACCATTACAAAAGTTCCAAATGAAAAAGAAGCAGGAGAGAAGGGAAGGAACAGAATGAAGAAAAATGAATCCAAGTGACAGCAGGGAAGAGTGGACTTATTTATTTGCTTAACTATTCATTTATTAAGCAGTTAACAAACACCTACTCTGTGCCAATCACTGGAGATAAAATGGGGAAAGGCATGGTCCCCTCTAAGGAATTTAGGGTATAGTCCAATCAGGGACGGGCTTTTCCCACCTTAGCGATCAGCCTTTCCACCTGACTGGTCCTCGGAAGGGTGTTACTGGGTCACTATCAACTGGAAATGAAATCAGAATGTTAACCCTCTCTCTATTCTCCCTTCAGAAACACAATGGGGTTCAAGGACTTGCCTGTAGAAAAGTCTTTCTGTTTCCGGGGCATGTGGGCACAAACGCAATCCTACACAGAGGTTTTAACATTGGAAAACTCAGCCTGGCCTCACTGTTGAGCTTCAGTGTGGGCTCCTGAGCCTATTTATCTTCTCCTAAGTATTTCTCCCCAACACCCTGCGAAACACTAGGAAGTAGGAACAGATTTTAATGTTTGGGGAAATAAGGTAGTTTGAGGTCTGTTTCTCTAGCATATGCTTCCAGACTGACACATACACAACATGCACACACTTCTAAGGTACCTATATACCGTTTCATGAGTTATGCCCAGGGTAAGCAGATACCAAAATCCAATATTATTTCCTTTAACTTTTTCTCCATACTCAATGTCACTCAATCAATGGTGATTTCAATTCAGGGATGAAAAGAAACTATTCAAGCAGCAAAAATGATATGGTACTCCTTGACAATTCCTATTGAAAGAAATAATAAAATCTGTAGGGAGTACCAAAGAAATACACCTAGTATAGTGCCAGGCTCATTATAGATGCCCAAGAAATGTCAAGTAAATTAAATTGAAGAATCCCATTATATTTTTTATGACAGTATGCATTTGTGCTTAAATCTCCACAAAATTTATCAAGGTTCACCTGAAAAGCAGTAATCAAACTGAACATCATGAATTTTTTATTGAGTTTACACCATAAATTACCAATTAATTTATGTTAATTTAGTGCCAACTAATAAACTGGGTAGGATACCTGGCAATAGATCACTTACTGTTTTAGAAATAAGATTCCTGCTGCTGGGATCATGGTAAAGTTCACTGACAATAAGTTTGTCCTTTTACATGAAATCATTTAAAATTTATGTTGAGATCTCAGTTCCAATTGTGTACTTTACCCAGCTTGAGACAAGCGTTCAGGCAATGTCCCACCAGGCTGCCAAACATGTCTTCTGAAACCTGAGACAAGCATTATTATGCAGCAGGGAAGCATAAATGGCTGCACCTCTAAACAATGGTGAAAAGAGACTGGATCCTGCTATAAATTGTGCTATCAGGCCCAGAACATAATTCTCAGGCATTACAACTGACCATTGAATGGATACACAGCAAAATAGTTTAACAAATGTTTGGTGCTTATGATCTCATCAGAAATTTTTCTTTAAAGACTTTTTAAAGAACTTGTGGAAATATACATGTACATATATTTTTAGCAGCACCAACTATGGATGTGTAAATTAAAATACGATGCCATCAGACCCCCATAATTTTGATAAAAATCATGAATGGCTGACTAGCTATTTTGCCAATAAACAAATGTTTTTGAGAAAATGTTACACAGCTATTATATTATAAGGCTTGCCTGTGTGAAGCACATGCTCAAATAAGGACACCCCATTCCTGTTTTCAGTTTCATTGAAAAGGACATTACATATATAACTAACACAATCAGAATATCTATGAGCTGCCTTCTACTTCTATTGCTCCATTTTGCTTTAACAAAGTCTTCAATGATTTCTGTTTCTTATGTATTTTCTTGATAATACCTTTCTTAAGAAGCCTCCAGTTGCCATTGTGAGGTATATCAATGTAGGTTAAAATAGTGAAGAAGTGCTTTTTATAAGGTAGGATGAAAAAGGTTAATAAGGATGTGAACAGCTTAGAAAATGTATACTGAAAATAATAAAGTGAAGTTTTATGCATTTAACTATTTTTTGTCTTCTTTTGCCCAATTTGTTTTATCAACATTATTGAATACAATAAACTTTACCGTTTAAAGCATACAAATTGATGAGTTCTGACACCTGTAAGTGTCTGTGAAACCACAACCATGATCGAGACCCAGAACATTTCTAACACCCCAAAAAGATCCCTTCCTCTGTCCCTGGCCCAAGGGAACCATCTGATCTGTTTTTTATCATTATAGATCAGTACGCATTTTCTAGAATTTGATATAAATAGAATCATATAGTATCTGCTTATTTCATTTAGTATAATGATTCTGAGATTTATCCATATGATTGTGTGTATCCCAGTTCACTTTCTTTTTATTGCTGAGTAGTAGTCCATTGTACAAATATACATTTTGTTTATCCACTCACCCATTGGTGGATATTTGCGCTGTTTCCTGTTTTTGGCTACTGTGAATAAATATCCTATAAACATTCATGTATAAGTCTTTGTGTGTTTTCATTTCTTTGGGTAAATACCTAGAAATGGAATTTCTGGGTTGTTTGGTAAGGGTATGGTTAACTTCACGAACCTGCCAAAGAATTTTCCACAGTGAATATACCACTCACTTTACATTTCCACTAGCAGTGTATAGACATTTTAGTTGCTCCACATTATCATTGACACTTTGTATGCCAGACTTTTTAATTTTAATCATTCTAATGAGTGTGTAGTACTATCTCATATATTAATTTGTATTTACCTGACAATAATGTTGAACATAGTTTCATGCGCTTATTGGTCATTCCAAAACTTTGTGAAGTGCTTCGTTTTGTTTTTTGTTTTGCCCATACTTTAACTGGATTGTTTGCCATTATTATTTTGAGATAGAGGCTCTGTTGCCCAAGCTAGAGAGCAATGGCATCATCAGAGTTCACTGCAACCTCAAACTCCTGGGCTCAAGTGATCCTCCTGCCTCAGTCTCCCGAATAGCTAGAACTACAGGCACATGCCACCATGCCTGACTAATTTTTTCAATTTTTTGTAGAGGCGGGGTCTCACTATGTTGCTCAGGGTGGTCTTGAACTCCTGGCCTCAAGTGATCCTCCTCCCCTGGCATCCCAAAGTGCTAGGATTACAGGCATGAGCCACCACATCCAGCCTGTCTTATTATTGAAGAGTTCCTTACATATATTTGATACAAATCCTTTATTAGATGTATGTAGTTCAAATACTTTCTTCCATTCTCTGGCTTGCATTTTTCATATTCATAATAGTATCTTTCAAAGAGTAAAATTTAATTTTGCAGAAGTCCAATTGATTTTTTTTTACACTTTGTACTTTTTGTGTCCTAAGAAATTTAAGCTTAACTCAATTCATGAAGATTTTCACCTGTTTCCTTCTTCAAGGAATTCTTATGGCTTTAGCACTTACATTTAGGGCTATAACCCATTTTGTGTTCATTTTTTATATGCTATGAGGTAGAAGCTGATATTCATTTTTTTTCAATATAAACATATAGACATCTTTGTTGAAAAGACTTTCCTTTCTCCACTGAATTGCTCTGACACATTCGTTGAAAATCAATTGACCATAAATGTGTAGGTCTATTTCTGGACTCTTGATTCCATTCCATTGACCTGTGTGGTGAGTCGGTGCCCTTAACCCCCGCATTGTTCAAGGATCAACTGTAGTACAGGTTGAACATCTCAAATCTGAAAATCCGAAGTCCAAAATGTTCCAAAATTCGAAGAGTTATGAGCTCCAACATGATAACACAAGTGGAAAATTCCACATCTGACCTCATGTGATGGGTCACATTCAAAACACTGTCAAACTCTGTTTCATGCACAAAATTATTAAAAATATTGTATAAAATTATCATCAGGCTATGTGTATAAGATACATGTGAAACATAACTGAATTTCTTATTTAGACTTGAGTCCCATCCCCAAGATATCTCATTATGTATATGCGAATGTTCCAAAATCTGAAAAAAATTCAAAATCTAAAACACTTTTGATCCCAAGCATTTCAGATAAGGGATATTCAACTTGTAATAAATAAAGTAGTCCTTGTCTTCAAGGAGCTTATAATTTACAGTCTAGCAAGGAAGGCAGCCTGACAGTGATCCACGACGGATAGGAAAAAGTGAGGAAAGAAGTTAGTTTCAGTTGAGAAGAATTTTAGTAGGTTTTACAGATAACATTACATAAAGACATAAGATAACCTTTTATATGTTACTCAACCAAACTGGGATTCACGTTCCTTGTCAGGAAAAAAAAGGTATGTATTATATCTGAGGATCATTATTGTGATTAAAAGAAGAAACGCATGTAAAGAATTTGGGTACTCAATAAATGGCAACATTCATTATGACCAGTATTAACAATATTAGTAGTAATAATAAAAATACATAGTCTGTCACCCTGCAATATAGCCCATTCTATCTCTAACTCAAACCTACACATTAAACTTTAGTTTAATTTTACCTCCATAAGTATTCATTTCCAACATTCTAGTCTTAGCAAATACCACATATGCTTATACCCAAAAGAGCAACAATGATTCTAAGTTTTTTTTAACAATAGCAGAACTCTAAAAAGAATTTCCAGGCGTAATTTGGCAGAGATCTTTTTTCATTTTGTACCCCCAAATGGACAAAGAATAAATATGCTAAAAAAATTCAAACAAAGTGGGAAGGACATGTAGAATGAAATAAAATTTTATGAGGATCTTTGTATATATACATATATTTTATCAGCTGAGTTTGTGATTCAGATCTTCGTATATTACGTGTTTTTAATATCTCAAAATTCTCCACCCTATTTCCAGTACATCCCATCCTACTGTAAAGTGGGGAACACAAGGGAAGAAACTATCTGCTTAGAAATAGAATCCATTGAAAACAAACACAAAAACAGAAGCTGACTTAGCTTAGTTCAAACAAAACAAAACAAAAAACCTCAAGTCCCAGCAGTTTGGAGTTGAAGGGGGAAGGGGTGGTGAGAGGAAATCCCAGCAGTTTGGAGTTGAAGGGGGAAAGGGTGGTGAGAAGTCCCAGCAGTTTGGAGTTGAAAGGGGAAGGGGTGGTGAGAAGAAGCCAGGGGTGTGGGCTGGGGATTCTGTGCTGCATATTCATTAATTGAGCTGATAGTGACTAGAAGAGTATTCCACTAGAGGATTGCCAACTAATACATGGGCAGGATATGAAAGCGTGGCTCATGTGAACTTGGCATTGGGTGCCAATGAGAGGTCACACAATGCAGCTCCAACATACAGCCCTTGCTGGTAGCACTGAGTGACTTGGAGACCTTGACATTTCCAGATGTCCACCTGACTTCTTGCTCTGAACCATGTCACAACACACACAGCCTTATCTAGGGAAGAGAGGTTTTCTCAGAAGCACAGTAAGATGCTGTGAGGAAACTTGAACTTTATTAATAACTTAAAGCACCTAAGATTTAAGAAACACCCTCTGCTGGTGTTTTATGTTGGATTAGTTTTCTTGTACATACAAGGTAAGGCTTTCAGTCTTTGTGGTTTGAACTACTCTTAATTTTTTTCTTCATAGTGATAGAAAATGACTCTCTCTCATTTCTTCACTCTGTTGGGTGAGGGGGAGAGGGGCTGGTAGGGAAGGGTAGATGGCAAATTTTCCAGGTTGGCTAGATCATTTAGTGAAGTAATTCTGGGCTACTGTCTTCCATGTCTGTTCTGCAGAACAGATGAATAGCAGCTAAAATATTATTTCAGCAAATTTGCATAGAATCTGTGAATTTACACAGTCCTCAGTGATGGCTCATATTTAAAATGAGACAGAGTGTGACTTTTAATGATTAGCTGTCAAGACTGCATGGAATTGAAATGATCCAGAGAGGTCCTACTCAAAGTGCTAAGTCTGCATTATAGACCTGGGGACCTGCTGCAGGTTTTCTGTCTCTGCAGACCTTTTTCCTTTTGTGATTTTTCATATAGACTTTGCTCAATACTTCTGCAGCTATTTCAGCGTCCAAAGAGAAATGTTGCCATCTTAATGTGCCACCTTTAAATGTACTTTTATCTCGTGGCTTTTCTTTCCAGTCAGGTGTTTTATAATAACAAACAGTAACAAAGGCTTTTTTTTTAATAACTTAAGATATTCAGTGGCTTTTGTCTTCCTAGCGTCAGCAGTAACGTCAGAGGATTGTATCCAAGGAGCTAAATGTGCAGGACCCAGGGTCAGAGCAGCTGAATACACCAACCTCAGAAAACACAGACAATGAATTGCAAATGACACTCAAAACAAAACGAGAAAAAAAACCTTCACACAGAAAACTACAAAAGAACTCTACAGACACTGAATTGGCTTTCTGTACACACTGATCCTGCTTAACTGTGTGTGGTAACTAACCAAACGTTTCAGATACTCATAGCCACATATAAAGGCTTCTTTTTTTTTTTGTGGGGAGGGGAGTTATAAAAATAAAAATATTGTTTCTTTCCTTCGAGTCTATTTTTCTTTATTTTTTTTTTAAAAAGCTTCACTAAGTGCAGATAGACGCAGCTCTTTCCATTTCAATCTTCAAACACACTAAAGAGTGGCATTAGCGATGAAGTGATTAGTCTTCCGTTAATTCTGCTGAAGGTTCTACACAAAAAGTGTATTGTTTCAGCTGGGATTCACATCATGAAACAAAATGGTTTGGTAAACCCAATAGAAGTGATAGCCCTTTCATGACACACAGGGTTCTGTACTGTATATTTCAACTTGTTAGCAAGTCAGAGGCACAAGCGAGAAATCAGCCTACACTGCTGCCGAGGCTGAATGGGAAACACTAAACTGATGAGCTGCTGTTTAGATTTTCCCACTGGGAATCATTCGGAACTGTCCAGGCATTACATCATCCAGGTAAATGGTAGCAGGACAAAATGCTTTTTATATCTTTGTAGCTACCCAAAGGGTAATATAAAAACTTGAAAAGAAATATATGTACTCTCTATCTACAATGAAGAAATAGGATTCCTCAATTGTCAAGCTATGGTCAGTTGCAGCTGGTTCTTAGTAACTGAGAAGCTGACTGCATTCTGGTTGTTAGCCAAAGGCAATACGAACACCTTCCCCTCTACATTTTTAGTTTCCTTACGAAGCTCCTTGTATCATACTTTAAATCAGAGATGGCAAGTCATATTGTTGTCATGGATATTTATGAAAAGTAAATTTATTAGATTTATTAAGATTTAAATGATTTTTTTAAACATTTCAAAAAAGGTTTATAGGCAAAACTTTTTTTTTTTTTTTAGCCTGGTATCCTTTCTATATCACCTTCAACATAAAAGCCAAATTCCTCAATATATGGCACCGCCCCAGCACACCTCTATACCCACACTGCACTAGACAGCCGCACTAGACAGCCACACCACAGCACCAACATGTTCCCAGCCACGCTTGCTTACACTTCCATATCTTTAAAAAATACTGTCTTCCAAGACTCAGCTCAGTTCTATCCTTCAGAAACAATCTACTCTCTCACTTTAAGTGATCTTCCTCTTCTAATTTCCTTAGATCTTGGCTGGCACTCTATTACAGCATTTATCACACCAGATTGAATTACTGTTTTATTTGTTGGTCTCTCCTACTAGACTCTGAACTCCTTAAACAGAGGGGGGGTCTGTCTCATCTCTGTATTTTCGGGCTCCAGCCCCATGTCTGGTCTACAATTATACTCAACAAATATTATAAATGGATGGATAACTAAATTAATAGATGAGAGAGAAGAAAAATAGAAACGAGGAAGGAAAGTAACTCAGAGATTGGCGTGACATCAACTGGGTACGTTTCAGAAGTTATAGTAGCAACTGTAAGGATATAATGGGTTCAAGGATTGTTATCTAGGCACTTACTAGGTACATCCTAATACACATTGTATACCTTAATCTCTGGTTTTTCTTCTTCTCTCCCCTTAACAGTGAGTTTTTCTGCTCTTTCTCTCATGGTTAACAACTTACATTTTATAGGGCTTTTCTCTTTATATTTACTCCCTCATAATTCTGTGACACTTATTATATGTCACTTTGTTTGGTCAGGGAAATAAGTTCAGAAAGGTTTTCTCCATTGTTGTTTAAACTTTAGGCATAACAGGGCACCTGCAAGCATTCCAGAGTTCCTCAGGTGTTCCCAACATCTGATGTGTCCAAACATGTAATAGTAGTTAAGTAAGAATAAGGATACAAGAGTTTTTTCCAAATATTTAGAACTAGGTTCAAGAAGGAACTCTTACCCATGGCTTGTTTCCCCATGGCACACTGGTATGTGTTTCTTGGGGACTGGTTATGATGAGGGTATGGGATCAGGCCAGCGCAAACGCCGAGAAGAGTAAAAGGTTCAATCTCCAAGTGGGTGGTATCTCTATCAAGTTAATTAAGAATTAGACATCTTAGGCATCAAGTATTAAAATAAATGTCTCTTAAAGGGTATAAAAATATTACTCTCTAGGTCCCCCAGGGATTTATAGGACAATAAAATTTGATGCTAGTAAAACTGGTAAAACAAAAACTTGCTTAAATAAAATACGATAAAACATAAGAACACATAAGTGAATTACTATATTGAACATATAGAAATATAATATCAACAATGGATGCATAGCCTGCTTTTCCTCATTCTTCCAACATTGTCAATGAGTAAGATGTATCACCATTTTAGAGAGAGGAATAAATCACCTTTAAGAATAGTTACTATAGGCCTATGGGGACCAATACCACAGCCACTAGGCTAATTGTGGCTACTGAGCACTTGAAATGTTAGGGTAGTGTGACTGAGGAACTGAATTTTTTATTTTACTTCATTTTAATTACTTTAAATTTTAAAATTTAAATTTAAATAACTCAGTTCATTTATTTTTAGCATCCAAATTGAAATGTGTTGTATGTGCACACTAGATTTTGAAGACTTACAGTAGGAAATAAAATATCTCAATATTTTGATATTGATTGTATTTTGACATGATAATATTCTGGATATACTGGGCTAAATTAAAATATCATTAAAATTAATTTCGCCTATTTCTTTTGACTTTTGTAATGTGGCTACTAGAAAATTTGAAGTTATATAGGTGGTTTGCATTATATTTTACTGGACAGCTCTGCTATAGATAGTACTGGACACAAAGTAAGATTTTATCTAGTAGGTGTCAGAATCTTGGTTACTTTCATAAAATATTTCTGCAGAAAATTCAGTTTTTGGCTAAATAATAGAACTCAACTGTGTTAATAGGAAAGACCAGCCAGATTATTTTTAGGACTTGGCTGGAGGTAATAGATACCACATCCAGGATCTGTGGTCTCCGTGAACCCACTATTCCTTCCTCAAGTGTTTGTGAAATGTAACCTTAAAAATTTTCAGTGGTTTCCCCATGGACAAAAGTGATTTCCAGGAAACCAGGTCCCAATTCATCATGGAAATTTAGTTGCAATGTACCTGGTAAAAAATCTCCCACTTACCCCGTTACCCATCTATTTTTTTTTTTTCCAGTACACATGTATTGAATTATGTCCCTAGTTTGGTGAGAAGGTGCTTTCCATGTAGCTCTTGGTTTGAAAAATATTGTCTTGACCTTATGATCCAGCAAAACCCAATCCTCTCGGATACTTGAGGACTTTGTCATTAATGAGGGAAAGGGGTCTAAGTTTTGTTTAGTTTTGTCTTTAAAGAACATCAGCTTATAGCTACATTTTATAGGCTAGAATAAAACAGATTTTTATTTTAAATGTACTGTTTTGTTTAAATATTGGCCAAGTTGACATTCCCTGTAAAAACCACCTTTTCAGATGCAAAGATTGGGTTAAGTCAAAAAATGAAGAAGGGAAACATCTGAGGTTTCTTTTTTCCTATTATTGTGACAACATATATAAGATCATATAGTATCTAATAATTACTCAAAGTCCAAACACTCTGGATTCTGATTTTAACAAAAAGAAAGGAAAACTATTTCCTTTAAAGTCATAACCACTGTGAGTTTCTATCCTGAAAAGGAATTAGATTTCCTATTCACTGTACATAAAACACTTATATTTACTTCAAATTAAAACTATGTAATCTAAGTGAATTTGATGTATGGAATAGCTTGGTCACTGGCTAATGCTGAGAGTCATATTCATTTATAGTGATGAAAAAACATGAAAATCCCCTGCCTTCATGAAGCTTCTGGTAGAGGAAGATTGACAATACATAGATAAATCAGTAAAATACAAATTTTACTGTATGGTAATGAGCACTAGAAAAATAAAGCAGTGAAGAGGGGTGGAAAGAGACAGGGATTTCTATTTGGAATAGGGTGGTCAGGAACGACTCACGAGGTGACACCTGAGTGAGGATCTGGAGGAGGTGAAGCAGTGAGCCATGCAGGTACATGTGAGAGAGTGTTCCAGGCAGAAGAGAGCCAGTGCAAAGGTGCCGAGGCAAAAGCATGCCTGGACTGTTTGAAGAAGAGGTCAGTGCGGTTGAAACAGTGAATGAGGAGAGGCAGAAGATGTCACAGGTGTGAAGCGGGGGTGGGCAGATCATGTAGGAACTTGAAGGCCTCTGTAAGGACTTTTGAGGGAAACAGAAAGCTACTAGGGGATTTTACATGAGTACTTTGCTCTATTAGAAACAGAGTATATGGGGACAAGTGCAGATACAAGCAGGAGCGAGCCTTTTGCAAGAATCCAGGCAAGCAACAGGAGTGGCCTGGAGTAGGACTGTAAATCAAGGCGGTGAAGAGTTCAGACTGTAGGTATATTTTGAAGGCTCACTTGACAAGCTATGGATTGATGTGGATGTGGAGAGAGGAGCTGATGTTGAAACCGAGGTTTTTGGCTTGAGTAGCATGAAAGACAGAACCATCATTTATGGGTATACTACAAGATAGTTCTCTTTTATATTCAATCTTGAAATGAGGGGTATAAAACAGTACTTTGGTAGATTCATACCTTTAAGGACTAAAAATTCTGACTAAAAATCATTTCCTAGATTATAATAAAGCAGTATATTTCATCTGGTAGGAGAAAACAGAAATGTATTTGTTCTTAATTGAAGACATAAATAGTTATTAGGTGGTGGTATTAAACTCTATTTAACAATATAACCGCAAAAATTCCAATTTCAGGTAAGTGAAATCAGTCGCATGCATCAGACAGCACGTTATATAGATGCCCTCTAATGTATTCCAAATGGAACATAGATGCTTCTAAAAATATTATCATTCTAGAAGAAACACTGTGAACACACTACCATTTCAAGTTTACACTGCACACATAAGCTCAGAGGTATCTTTACAACATACTATTAATATGTACGGAATTCTTGTGCTGACAATAAGAATTCAGATGTCCATTGACAAAATGATCTCTAGAAAAGATAAATACATCTTTACATAGCCTGATTTATTAGTTTAATTTCGGCAGGAATCAAGTGTTACACATCAGAGAAGCAATTCTTTTTAAAAAATATACACTAAGTGTATAAAAATATAAAAAAAATATATACTAAGTATCACAAGAATAATCTAAAGATGACTTGTTAACAGCTTTGTAACACTCTTAATTGGGATAAATGATGGATTATGCTTTATGATAAAACAATAAACTTCCAACGGTTTCTACTAAGAGTACATGATAGAAGAAATGAAGATTACAATGACAAGAAAAGGTAGTTTCTATAGTTAAAATGGTTTTAATTGTGGTTGTTATGGATTTTACTTACTTATTAATTGTATGTTCATAGAGTGCAATGTTACAATCATTTTCTTCATTCACATCTAAATATTCAACCAGACTCTCATGTAAGAAATCTTCAAAATTCCTGGGAAAATATTGGTGAAAGAAACATTATTAAAAAACATTTTCTGCAGTACTTTATATAATAACAGAAGATACTGGCTTTCATTTAGGCCCAAAGCACCAGTTCTCTTCCAGAGAGTACTAGTGCATTAGGATACCTGAAACATGTTATTCTTGGATCACAGAATAAATCACTCAAATAAAAACAGTAAAGTATGACTCTTATCAATCTGGTCCCTATTTCTAAAAAAAACAAATCTGACTTTAAAAATTCCATATGATGAAAAGACCCACAGCATCTACAGCAACATATTGCTGTAAGTCCTTTTCTTACTAGGAACACTTAACTGTGCACACTAATTTACACCAAGATTCTATGACCCTCATGATCTCAATTGATACATATTTTACAATGTCCAAGCAAATTCACATGGAGAATACGTTTTTAACAGGCTGGTATATTTGGTGGGGAGAAATTAAGAAACTAAAATTAAAATATACTTTTCTTAAATCATGTATGCATGTATTAAGGAGACTGATAAATTTTACTTTTGGCCATTTACCTGTATCCCTGGGCCAGCTCTTCCATATGCTTATTTGTGACTGCTGGCTTCTGTTTCTTGACAATTATGTAGGGTCTAGAATAAAAAAACAAACAAAAGAAATCCCCCAACAAATTAATAGTAGTTCCAGGGAAGAATTACATCAAGTTAATTTACCATGGTGAAATGAGGGAAGATAGCGATACAATCAAACTTATTTCCTCAACTGCTTGACGACACCAGGTATTTTTTGCATGTGTGAGCAGGGTGTAGGGGCCTCTCTCACATATATAATACACACACACACCCCTCCCACATATGCATGTGAGTATGTGTGCACACACACATGCACACACACAGTCCTTCCCCCAAGCATCTTAGGAAACATTTAGTTTTGAATGAAAAGGCAACACGAAAATGATACCAATAAAGTCTGGAAAGGAAACAAAACCTTTAATGTCATATTTTTAAAAACTGTAATGCATCATTCCAAAAGCATTTCCTGATTTCACATGGGGAATATTTGGTATACTACTCATGGAGTGAGCAGGCAAAGAAGCACTGTTACCGAGGATAACCATGGCATTTTGTTCTGAGGGTCTGAGGAATATCCAGATGTTTAGAGTGGTTTGATTCAGGCTAAACATCACTGAGCTAGACTAGTAGGTTACTTAAAGCTACAAATGACCCAAATGTGTGGCTATAAGTATGCAGCAAATAAACCTTTCTAACTTTGTGATTTTTAGTGATATAATGGGGGTAAGGCAGAGAAAGCATTCTGGTAGATTAACCTGTAACTGTCAGTGGTGACTTGCTTCTGAGGGCTTCACCACCACGAGGAAACACCGACACAAAGGATGGCATGCAGCACTGAAACGTCAAGGGCTGTTGCTATTTGGATAAGCAGCTCTTATAGGGAGAAGCAAGTAACCACCAGACACTTGTGAGCTCTACCCTAAAGTCGAAATAACTATTTGAGGACTAATGAGCACTTTTAAACAGTTAAGAGGAGGAGCTGCACAATTACAAAAGGGGAACACAAGTTGTTGAAAAATGAACTGGGTAAGCTTTTCATGGAAATCAACAGTACCTCGAAATTCTGGCTCTCTCTTGGTAGGCAAGCAGAGCAACCCCGCTGCCTCATTCGAGGGCTGCAGTGCAGTTCAGGTTAAGGCTCAGAAGTGAGGACAAAAACAGGAGGAGGAGAGGGAGAGGATCACATTTAACTACCAGTTATCCTTACTTAATAAACTACTAATTCTTCCTGCCAGATCTGCTATGCCATTATAAAATTGCTTCTAAAAAAGAATTAGTTTTCTTTTAGAATATGCTATATTACACTGGATGTAACAAAAGAGAAAAATCCTAAAAAAGAATAACCTAGAAATTGTCATGGTTTTCTCTGCCCCTACCTGGGCCACGTTGTTATCAGCTATAAACAAGCACTTAATGTGCGCCAGCACCTTACAAGGCACTTACAATACCTTATATCAATCAGTTCTCAGGACAATTCTAGAGTGGCATTAATATTTACATTTTACAACCAAGAAAACGAAGGCTCAGAGACTTAAGTAATATACTCAGAGTCATATAAGTCAATAAGTGGGAAGTTAGGATTCGAACACAGGCATATCATCAGCTAATCATTCTTTGGTTGCAAAGAAGAGAAATCACTTCTGGCTAACTTAAGGAAAAATGAAATTTACTGGAGGCCTTTAAGAATTTAGTGAAAGGACAAGAATCAAAGAAAAAGGTGAAATGCTCAGCCTCAGAAAGATAAGGAACTACAGCAGTCCCAAGGATCCAGAAAACACAGAGTAATGGGCAGTCTCTCTGTGTGTCACCGTCAGAATGAATCAATTCCCACCACTTTCCTCCCTTGATTTATTCTGCTCGGGATTCAAATTCTCTGATGAGAGTGTCTGACTGGCCTCTCTTGGGTCATATGCCTGGCCCTTGGCTGGGGAGGAGAGGGCATTAGACTGACCATCCCAAGACTGCCAGTGGGGAGGGGCAGTACCCAGAGGAAAATGAGGTAATGAAATGAGAGGGAGAAAAAGATGCTGGGTGGACACAACAATAACAGCCCACTCTGCCAGCTATGACAGACTTCCAACTACTGCTAGCTCATTGCCTTGTGCTTTAACCCTACCCGAGGTCTACAGAGAATGACTATATTCAAATCACTATAGGTATCAAATAGCTGAATACAGTAAAGCAAGGGAAGGCGTACGAAACAAGGTAACGTCCCCAGCGATGTCCCTGCATATCCCCCTAAACCAGATACTATGTCACATTCATCTTTGAACTTCCAGCTTCTAGACAGTACCTGTGCAGAATAAGCCCTTAATAAATACTTTCTTAATGAATAAAAGGGACTTTTCTACTGGGTCTAATGTTATTTCATTTCCTCATGCCTCCATGTTTTTATTCTTGCCTTTCTCCTCTCACCCTACATCCAAGTAACACAATCCTACTCATCCTTTTAAAGCTCATTTGTAGGAAGAGAATACAGTGGGTAAAATCAGGATTGTTGGAGTCAAACAAATTCTAAGGACCTTCAAGTAAAAAACAGACTCCCCCGCTTTCTAGCTTTGAGTTAAGTTACTTAGCCTCATTGAACCTCAGTTCCTCATTCGTTAAATGAAAAGAATAACCCAGCCTCATAGAATTGAATGAAGTTAAAGCCTTACACAAATATTACAACCATTAAAATAATAACTAGTGGCTAGCATTAATTACCAGCATAGTTGATTGTTATTAGTAATTATTTCTGTCTCTCTGAACAGACTGAGCTCTCTGAGGGCAGAGACTGTCTCCCACTAATCTTTGAATCCTCAGTATCTAGGATTCATGCATATTCATGAAGTGTTTGCTAACGGAATTAAATTTATCGTAACAATGAAAGAGGTTAAAGCAGCTTCAAAAATAAAAACAAGTTTATTTCTCTCAAAAGTAAATATAAAGAGATGCTTAAAAATCTTTTAGTAACATATACCTGCACAGTCTTCCTCCATCAGAAGAAATATAGACACATCGATCTGTAAGATTTGTTGAAATGGAAACAAATTCATTGATATATCCTGCTCTTCGCATCAGTCTAAATGTATTCACTAGCTTTTTATGGTCTCGAATGACACCCAGGATGTTACCTAAGCAAAAAGAAGAAAGAATAGATCAGACAGAAATAAAAAATCTAATCTGGTTTAAAACATCCGCCCAGTAAAAATAATAAGCAGCACTGAGTAGTCATTTGAAAATACTCTTATTAACTGCAGCCAGCCCAAAAGGCTACAAGGAGGTAACACTAGAGTGAGTGATTAAGGGCAGAACCTGGAGTCTAGGGCCAGTCCTACCGTATGCTGTGTGAGTAATACTGGAAAAGCCGGCTTCATTTTCCTCACCTGTCAGCACAGTGCTGGGCGCATGAACTTGTGATCCAGACCACCTGGGTCTGAACAGTGGCTCTATCACTTCCACAGGGTGGTTGTGAAGATTAAACGAGCTGATTTATGCAAATCACTTAGAACTCTGCCTAGCACCTAGTAACTGTTGTTATTAAACTGCTCTTGTAATTACCATCTGTGAAATAAGGAAAATAAACTTTGCCACCCAGGGTCACTGTGAGGATTCAGAGGCACTGGGTGAAAGTGCAGAGCAAGAGCTCACTCAGTGTTAGCCTCTCGGAGTTGCTGAATGAGGATGTCAGTTAATAGCCCTGCTGAGGTTCTGACCCCGTCCTCATCAGCCCACACAGTAAAGGGTTAATGTCTCCCAGATTGGAAGGAAGTGGGGACGAGAAAAGACATGAAATGAACTAAATGGTCAGGGATAAGCACATGCACATAGCTGAAAGGACAGGCACATAGACCATCAAATCAAAAGTAGATAGGACAAGGACACGTTTGTTTCCAGGTCTCTGGAGGACTTTGAAGAAGGTGGGAACATGTGTGTGAAAGCAGCAACTGGAGTCTGAGCCAAAGAAAAGGAATTTTCTTGCCACAGGCCGTTGACACATCAGTTATCAAATGGCTAAATACAGTCAACTCACTATAAGGATTGATTTGATTATTTTTGCAGAGTGACTCAGATATTCAACCTGTACTTAAAGATACCATGTTGAACCTTATTCCACTGTGGATATGCGAGCAGCTGGAAAAGGGCAGAAAGCAGCCAGTCTCTACAGTGTTCCCCTTAAGCTCTGACAGCTGTCTCCTCTCAGAACCTTGGATAACCCAGCCAAGAGAATAGCTGTTTCTGTTATCACTTTTTCTACCTTTAAATAAAAGTCAACCTGAGCCCAGAATTAAAGTATATTTGTGCTTTAAATAAAAGGATAATAATGAATTCTTTCCCTCTTCCCACAGATTGTTTAAGATCAACATGTCTCTATAATATACTTACCATTAAGAAAAACGAGAAACACATTTGGGTAAGAAAGTTCTTCCCCACATAATAAATTCACATCTTCTACTCCTAGGTTACTGGCTAGTTTTACGATGGGTCCATCTTCCATATCAGTTGTGATGTGTGTCATAAGGGCCAAGTTTTTAACCAAACCACATGCCTAAAAAACAAAAGATGGTCATTTCTAAGAATGAACATTAGTATCACAAAGGACAGTTTGTACCTGAAAATAGCTCACCACTTTGCTGGCAGCAATGCAAAGCAGTACACTTTGGCAATTCACATAAAAGTCTTTAAAATGTATATACCCTTTTCCCCAGAGGAATTTATTCTAAGGTAA